CTGTCACCTGACCCCAGCAGGGATCAAGGAATAATCACGTACACTCAAACTTCCTCATCCAACTCCAGGAGCAGAGGGAAGTTATGATTCTCTGCAGATAAGCACTTCAAATGGGGGCAGGGAAATATAACTCAGGGTAGCAATTCCCACAGAATTCTGTTAATATACAGGACAATCCCCCACAGCAATGACCATGCCAGTGGTGCTGATGTTGAGAAACTACCACTTCTCACCAATGAAGCGGAGTAAAGGCCTTGATGTCGGGAGAACAATTAAAAGGGTAAATGAAGGGGCCGATGAGATGGGCCAGTGAGTAAAGGTGCGTGCCAGTCACCAAGTCTGGTGACCTGAGTTTGAGTCCCAGGACCTGTGTAGTAGACGTAGAGAACAGATTCCTGATCCCTACAAGTTGTCCTCTGTCATCTACATACATGCCGGAGAATTTATGTGTCCCTGCCGTACACAAAATAAACCAAGACCCTTGTGGCGGGAGATAGAAAGGAAGACAGAGCTGATACAGAGGTGATGGGTGTCGTTGTGGGGACCTTCCCCCTGCACCTGGTACCCTTAAAGGTTGTTATGTACCGGCTTTTAGTAATTGAGGCCCAGGGACACTGCTAAATGATGATATCCCTCTCTTGACAGAAAAACTTGTAGGGCGCCACATCAGAGGTACAGGAACGGAGAAACCCTGCGTATGTGCGACTGCAGGCAGAGTAGTCTGCGGGAGTCTTGGATTAGGTTGGAGGAAGGGCGTAGAGACATGGGTAGAATGGGAACACTTAGGGGCCCAACCGTCTGTTCATCTGTTTGCCGGCCGCTCCACCAACATCTTGATCCACAAGTGTAAGTAAAATCGTGGGCTGGCGCTCCCCACCCCTAGTGGCAGATGTTCCGTGAGCCCCTGCTGAAGGACCGCTGTGAGCATCAGAGCTTGTTTTTGTTCATTGATTGTGCCGGCTGGTTTTGTGTCAACTTGACACAAGCTAGAGTCTTCGGAGAGCAGAGAACCTCAACTGAGAAAATGCCTCCATAGGATCTGGCCATAAGGCATTTTCTTAATTAGTGATTGATGCAGAGGGCTCACCCATTTCTGTGTGGTGCCATCCATCCCTGGGCTGGTGGTCCTGGGTTCTGTAAGAAAGCAGGCTGAGCAAGCCATGGGGAGCAAGCCAGCAAGCAGCACCCCTCCATGGCCTTTGCATCAGCTCCTGCCTCCAGGTTCCTGTCCTGCTTGAGTTCCTGTCCGTACTTCCTTCCGAGATGAACAGTGCTGTGGGAGTGTAAATCCTTTCCTCCCCGACTTGCTTTGGTTATGGTGTTCTGCCACGGTAATAGAAACCCTAACCAAGACACTGACTGTGGCTGAGCCTGGTGAGGACAGGTGGGTTAAATGAGGCGTCAGATGTCTGTGAGGCACCTTGCGAAGTGCCCAGTGACAAGCATCCAATAAACACTAATTAAATGCCATATGTCCGCTTCGGGAGCTCTCCTGGCTGTGATGCCCACGTAGGCAGAAGTGAGAGGCCGGCTCGCTCAGATGATGCTTGTCTGTGCCATCGATGGTCCCCGGAGACAGCAGAAAAGCACCCAAGGACTGCCCTGGTGTGCTGTGGTGTGTTAATGGGCTAGCCGAGGGCAAGTACTTTATTATTATGCCTTGCACTTTATAATCACCGTGTAGAGGTCTTCCGTCCTTCCTTCTAGAATGTAGCAAACCAGTGTTTGTAATAGATGATGCATCTTCCCAGGATCCTTTTTTTTTTCATTTCTCTAGTCTTGGGACAGTTTGTTCCAGTCCTGTGGTGCAGATGGCAGCGTCTGTAGCGGGTGATCAGTCAGCTCGTGGGTGATTCATACATGCAGCACATTCAGCGGGAAGAAAGGATCTTAGAGACCTCCTACGGACTAAGTCTCATCAAGATGGAGGGAGTCGCATTCTGTGATCAAGCAGAAAACTCTATGATTTAAAATCAGACAGAAAAAAGGAAAGGAAGCAGGCTGAGGGAGCCATGGAAGCAGGCCAATAAGCAGCTCTCCCCCTCCATGGCCTCTGCATCAGGAGGTTCCTGCCCTACTCGAGTTCCTGACCTGACTTCCTTTGATGAAGAAACTGTACCCTCATTTTTCATTAATTTTAAATTACATTTTTACTGTGTGTGTTGTGTCTACATGCGTGTGTGCCGTGCCGTGTCTGTGGAAAACGGAGGACAACCTGCAGGAGTCGGGTGTCTGCTTCATCTGAGAATTTTAGTCACAGTAGGGACAATAAGAACGTAAACTTCTTGTGTAATCTTGGCCATTTCCAGCAATCTGGGGGGGGGGGGTAGTTCTGGGTCACTGGATGCCTGCTGTGTTAGGTAAACATCAGCCTCAGAAGTGGTGAATGGCTGTATTCATTAGCATATTTTACAAGCCAGCTGCAGATAAACCTGAGGGGGCAGCCTGAGCAAAGCCAGCATCAGGTGACACAGGCTCAACCCCTATGGCCAACGAGGGAGGGGCACCTGTGTCATCATCATAGCTGCTGTCACATCCCAGGGACTCAGTGAGGTGCAGCTTGGCTTTGGCTGCCATCTTGTAAAAGTTGCCCGGCAACTGATTGTGAATGCCGTGATTATTCAAATAGAACCCTAGAAATAGAAAACTCAGGACGCAGGGAGATGGCCCAGCCAGCGCAGTACTCACTCCGCAAGCCCGAGAACCTGAGCTTTTCCACTTAGCACCTGCATTAAAGATGAGTGTCGAAGCATGGTTCCCCAGTCCCTGGGCTGGAGAGAGATGGGGACAGGTGGACCCCGGAGCTCGGCGGCTGTCCAGTCCAGCAGAATCGGCGGGCTCCAGGCCTAATGAGAGACTCTGCCTCAAAAGCTTAAGACAGAGCAATTGAGGGAGATATCCCGTGTTGATCATTGACCTCCACACATGTTTGCACAGATGCGTACACACACCACACACATACACACGCAGAAACATTTCTACCTGTTAAAACAGGCCTCCTTCTAATGGTATTTGTACTTTTTAAAACTAGTAACATTGTATGGTATGTCGGATTATTTTTATAAAGAATATCGCAGTTCACCTAATCTTAGACTTTACCAACCAGTCTCCCTGATGGCAGAGAAAAGCATCCTGAGGAAACTGGCCTAGGCCGGTGGTTCTCAACCTTCCTAACGCTGAGACCCTTTAACACAGTTCCTCTTGTGGTGGTGACCCCAAGCATAAGGTTATTCCATTGCTACCTCATAACTGTAACGTTGCTACTGTTATGAACTGTAATGTAAATATGACCTCCAAAGGGGTCACAATCCACAGGTTGAGAACTGCTGGTTTAGGGGCGGTGTCTGAAGGAAAAGCTTCAAGTGGCAAATCTGGCATTTTATCTGTAAAAAGTGACATTAATTTTCATATAATTTTTTATAGGACAAATTCAACTGGTCTGTTTGGTTTTAGTTTTTATTTAATTTTCTTTTATGTGCGCTGGTGTTTTGTGTGCAGTCAGGCCTGTGTAAGGGTGTTGAATCCTTTGGAACTGTAGTTATAGGCAGATGCCGTGTGGGGTGCTGGGGATTAAACCCTGGTCCTCTGAAAGAGCAGCCCTTAACAATTGAGCCGTATCTCTAGCCCCTCTGTATCAGGTTTTAATTAGCGTTAGTGCCATATAATATTCTAAGTATCTCGCCATTACAATCATGAAGGTTCCAGAAGCTGTGCCCCATTTAATAAGCTGTCTAACATGCCTGGCTAGCACAGGAGAAAAGGTAAAATAAGGAACAAGGCTAGGACTGTAGCAGTGACTCAGCATTTAAGAATACTGGCTATTCTTCCAGGGGACCTAGGTTCGATTCCCAGCACCCATGTAACAGCTTCCAACTGTCTGTGACTCCGGGCACAAGGGATCTGATGCCCTGTCCTGGCCTCCACAGGCACTACATGCATGTGGTGTGCAGACATACATGCAGGCAAAAAGAAATAATATTTTTTTTAAAGATAAAGACAACAAAGCTATCAATCAGGCATGGAGCACTGCAGACAGTGGCGACTAATTTCTAAGTCAGCAGTCAAGGCACACTAGGGCAGAGAAGGGAGTGAGCGTCTGGATTGAACTGGGGGGTCAGAGATTGTTTTACTAATACGTCAGAGCGCCCTGAAGCTGGCGAAGTTGGATTTTCTGGTGTGAGCCAACACACGGAGGGAACATAAAACTTATCACCTGGGCTTCCCTTGGTGCAGCTGTGTGCCCTCTCTCCCACCTGCTGCGTCTCCTGGGCAACCCACTAGCCACGAGCTGTTGCTGGGTCCTAACGTCCTCCTCGGGGAGGGGGGTGAAAAAGCACAATGTCAATGACCACAGACGGTGGGAGTCGGGTGGAAGGCTTACAGCAGACTCATGTGTTTAATAACAGGGAAAACACTTAATACTCTCCCAGCACCCAGGCAGTCTGATCAGTGCCTCTTGCTAGGTGCCCCGGAAATACCGCTTGGTAGTTCCTTCTGGTTAGGCACAGAGGGGACCTTTGGCAGCTCCAGGCAGACTCCAGGTTGGCTCCTTTTGGTCTGATGGGCCTTAACTCCCCACAACAGACAATTTTCCTAGCTTAATTTTTTTTTGTGATTTGTTTTTCAAAACACAACTAGCGGTCGTCCCGTGGCAGACGGCACAGAGCTAGCGACGGCGAATTGCTGTGTTGGCGCTCAGTGAACTGATTCTCCTGCAGCCAGCCGACGCTCTTACTTCACAGTGCAGATGGCATTATAACTCGGGTCCGGTTCTGCGTGATGCAAAGATGGAGGGCAGCTTTGTGCATGTTTAACTTTATTCACCGGTGACAGCAGGACCCTGGATCTCGCCAGCCCTTGTCATTGTACCTGTTCCTCTTGTCACCCAATGGCCACCATCTCTTTATGTCCTGCAGGAGAAGTCCCAGAAGCCAACAGCCGCCCTGAATCCTCTTTCTCTCCCTCACTCCTCCATCAGTCTACTATTAGAACCCGCCGACATGTGCTGTGCTCTCTGGCTGCTCTTCGGAAAGGCTCGGCTTGTTAACACTGCAGACCTCGCTTCCTCAGGGAAGCCGTTCTCAGTGATTTTTCCTAGAAGGGGTTGGCATCCCTTCCTCTGTGCAGCTGGCATGGCAGTCAACTTCCGTTCGAAAATCGATTGTAGATTGTAGAGAGATGTTGGCCAGAGAGCACAGAGTTTGGCGAGGAGGAGTAAATTTGGAGATGTCTGGTACAGCTTTGCGACTGTGATTAATAGTACATTTGATACATGGACATTATCATGTACATATTCATGGACATGATATACAGATGATACATTTGATGCTTAAAAATTGCTGAGGGCTGGCAAGACGGCTCAGCAGCTAGAGCCCTGAGTTTGCTTCAGGGACCCACGTGGCAGGAGAGGACTGACCCCCACGGGCTGTCCTCTCATCTCCACATTCTTGCTACACGCAAAATTTTAAACCGTCATAAGTTGTTCAGTGAATTCACCCTGAATGTTCTCATCACAGGGATATGTCAGATGGCAGATGCATAAGTTAGTTTGATTTGATCACAGTGTATGCAGATACCGAGGCGCAGTGTATGTCGTAAGTATGTATGATTTTTGTCTGCCAGTGACACATTTATGACGCCATGGAAAACAACCAGCCAACATAGTTCCTTTAAGCTGGGGCTCTTAGCTTATTCTTTGAAGCCTGCAGTTATGTGCAGATGTTTGTAGATAAATGCATTAAATGAGGACATTGGTATGTGGTACTTGTGCGGGGTCTGAGTGAAGGAGGCAGTAAAGGTAGGCAAAGACCAGATCTTGGAGCATCAGAAGACCATGAAAACAGATGGCCGTGTGTTATGGCACACAGCCTCCATGTACCAGCTCTGCTCAAAGAGGTCAGCTGCACAGCTGGCCTCAATCAACCTGCCCCAAATACACTCTTCCAACTTGGCTGCCGTTACCCCTCTCTCACCCCCCTCGAGACCCCGTTCAAACATCACTTTCTTTAAAATTTTGTATTCCCAGACCCCATCCCAAGTCCCGTGAGCTCCTAAGTCTTCTCAGATGTCTAAGCCACAACTGTAGCTTGTGTACTGGCCTGAGCAGGGTGTCTGGTGGGAGGCAGGCATAGAGTACACGGGCACTCTGGACTGCTTACCTGGTTCTGCAGCAGTTGCTGACGTGAACTGACTTTTGTATTGAACTCTTGGTTTTTGATACCCAGAAAGCATTGGTGTTTTTCTCTTTTTTTTTCTAGGTGGTTCTGGAATGGAGCCGGGATCAATACCATGTTTTGTTTGATTCCTACAGAGACAATATTGCTGGGAAATCCTTTCAGAATCGGTGAGAGTTATTTTGTAGCTTACCTGTTATGTGAATTTAAACAGTAAGCTGTGGATTCCTTCATGTTTTAAATATGGTGGTCGTTTAAAGAGATCTGGCCAGACTGCTTATGTCTGCACGAAACACATCTCTCGCCTGCCAGGGAATAAGGAAATAACCTATTTTTTGAGGCAAATGTGTGTGGCCAGGAACATGGATTCGTATTGTGCGAAGTCATGTGTTCCTGTGTGGAAATGGGTTCATGAATCATGAAGTCTTTATAGTTATGTAGCAGATGGCAACGTCAGGAAAGTGGGTTCCAGCAGATTGGGGGGGATCTCTGCCACAGGTTCTGATGATGTCATTCCTAACTTTTGGATTGGTGGAAGCTAGTGGTTTGTTAATACATTTGAGTGTCTCTCACTTGGTGGTGGCAAGGACCTCCGCTCTGACATCCAAGTGAGCACTGAATGTCTATGAAAGATATTAAAAATTAGCCCAAGCGAATGTGGCTGTGTATCTGCAGCGTTCTAACTCTCTGTAATCAGATGTAAAACTTTAATAGAGGTGTGCCTTTGTTCTGGGAATCTCAGTTCACATGTGTATGGTCTTGTATATTTCAGAACAAATACACCCACTTGTAGAAACCATCTAGTTTACCCTGTTTTGTAGATGAAAATTTTTGATCTCTAAGAAATGATCTTGCTGTAGACGGTAGTGGCACACACCTTTAATCCCAGCACTCGGGAGGCAGAGGCAGGTGGATCTCTGTGAGTTCGAGGCCAGCCTGGTCTACAGAATGAGTTCCAGGATAGATTCCAGAGCTACAGAGAAACCCTGTCTTGGGTGGGGGAAATAATCTTGCTTGCAGGTCGAGTGGACTGAGTTGTAAGGACTCGTTTTCTCTGTCCAGTTCTGTGAGGTCCAGAAGCTTTCATCCCTCACAGGAAGATAGGTTGCCACTACACAGCCCGCTGTGAGCGCTGGCCAGCTTAGTAGCACTCTGTCCACGCAGCCACTCCCATGGTGACTGCTGGGCTGGAGCTGGCACCTGGTCATCACATGTTGCTGCCCCTGAGGTACCCACGGCCTCCGTGCTGGGTTCTCCTCAGCTTTGGTGAAGCCTCCTGGTGAAATGCTTTCTTTATTCTTACCCTCAGAGATTTTTCTCTTTCATAAGCCAGGCTTCAGAATAGAAGCAACCCCCCATCCCCTTATCCTGTGTCTCTTCTGACAGACAAAATGAATCCCGTAGGTCTTTTTATTTTATTTTATTCTTTTGGAGACGAGGTCTCTCACTGAACGTGGTGCTTGCTGGTTTGGCTTGCCTGGCTGGCAGGTGAATGCCAGGTTTGCTCACCAGCGGTAGCACCTGTTTCCACCTCCTGAGATAACAGGTGTGTTGCCACAGCTCGGTATTTACATAGGTGCCGGGCACCCGAGCCGCCGCAGCTCCGGCCCGAGCTTTCACTTTTTGCTTTGGTCTCCACACTGTCAATGGTGTCCCCTTTACAGAGATCGGCTCTCTCGGATTTTACCTGCTCTAGTCATGGAGTTGTGTGTATCTGTGTTAGCAGTGAGTAGGGAGACAGACAGCGTGTAATCAAAGCGAAGGACAGCCATCCCGTAGGGTCTTCAAAACAGCAGTTTTCAGACACTCAGGCTTCCCAAGGCCTTGGATTCTATGAAATACAAGATCTTCCTCTAACACGTTTGCGTCTTATTTGTTTTTAAAAAATTATGCATCAATGAGTGGAGTAAAAGCAACAGTGTGTGGGATTGCTCACACCCTAACCTTTCATCCCTGCGTTACTTAAAGGGAACAGACAGGATGGTTCTGTTTATCAATGCTCAGGATAAGGCAGTGATGGTTGTTAGCCTGTTACATGTTGATCCTTGAGGATACATCTTTTTAATACCTGTGGGTCATGACCCCTTGGGGGGGTCGCATATCAGATATCCTGCCGATTAGATATTTACTATTCATAACAGTAGCAAATGACAGTTATAAAGTAGAAATTTTATGGTTGGGGTCAGCACAACGTGAGGAACTATATGAAAGGGTTGCAGCGTTAAGAAGGCTGAGAACCACTGTCCTAGATGATGCTCATGTAAACAACATGGTAGTTGCTCACATAAAAACCTTGGGGCCATTGAGTCACAAGTTCAACTAGCCATCTCTTTTTTTATTATTCTTCTGTGTACTTATTCTTTGTGTCTTTCACATCAGGCCTCTCCATCCCATTCATTTCCCTGTCCCTTCATATCCACCCTCTGCCCTTGCAACCTCCCTCCCAAAATAAAAGAAAATAAATAAAGCTTAAGAAGGAAAAGAAAAAGAAGGGAAAAAAAATCTCATCATGGAAGCTGCAGTGTGATTCAGTGAGTCACATAGTAAACCCTTTTGTCTATACATCTTTACTTACAAGTGTTCATTGCAGAGAGTCATTGTTTGTTTAGAGGCCTCTGGTTTCTGCTACACTATCGATGCAGGGCCCTCACTGGAAACCCCTCTTTAGTATCCTTTTGTTGCCCTGTGCTGTGGAGATCCTGAAGCTTTGGATCGGCCGACCGGTCCCTTCACACGCTGCTGGAGATTACAGATGGGGTGGATGTTGGGGTGGGCCAACTCATAACCCTGGTTATGGGCCTGGGTAGTTGTAGGGTTGATCAGCCTGTCAGCTCTTCCCTGTCCTCACCACCAGGGAGTGCTCTCCTGCATTGTCCTGGCAAGTTCTCCCAGTGATAGCAAGGGACGGGGCCATCAACAGGACATCTTTTTCATGGTAACTCTTGTTGCTTGATAGGACAATCAAGACTGGGATTCCTTAGATTTATTTATCTATTTGTTTGTTTATTTGTTTATTCATATATTTATTTATTTGTCAGTGAATATGGTCTTGTCATTTCAAGGAAAGCAAGTAACAGTATTTGTTGGTAATGGTAACATTTGAATTTTCGGGCGTCTAGACCTTGCTTCCAGCATGGTGACAGTATCAGCATCACAATGCTTTTGTGATTAGGTTTGGCCTCATCTCCCAAGTCACGGTTAACTGTTAACATTACGTAAGAAGATTAATAGAATGTGTTAACATTTGGCAGACCCATGTGACTATTCAAGCTGTTGTCTTCCAGGGTGTGGTGCTACAGAATCTTGCATTAGGGACTGAGCCGTTCAAAGTGCAAGAAAGGTCAGTGGGTTTGAATGAGAAAGCCCTAGAAGTTCCTTGTGTGTTTTCAGATTCCGCACTGCAGCTAGCCCTGAAGTCACTGTGACTGATGTTGTGTTAGCGTCAGAGGAGAATAGAAACTCTTGTCTGAAAGGCTATTAGAAGATGCCCCACCCCCATGTCTGTGAGTGGACGTTTCCTTCAAAACCCTTTCCCCTTTGGTTGCTGTAAGATGAGCATAGGAGAGATTGTCAGAATTGCAGTAGATGTTGCTGCTGCTGTTGCCTAGAGAATGCAGTTTCTGGGTTTTTTAGAGATGGATCTGTTGGTAAAGTGCTTGCAAGCAAGTGCAAGAACCCTGAGTGATCCCCAGCACCCAGGTCAAATAGCCAGGTACATACCTGGGAACCCCAGGGCAAGGGAGGTGGGGAGGAACAGAGGTGGCTCTGGCTGGCCTGGAATTTGCTGTGTCAACCAGGCTAGCCTCAAAAACAAGGGATCCTCTATCTCCTGAGTGCTGGGATTAAAGATGTGCACCACCACACCCAGCTCCCTAAAGAATTTGTTGTTGTTGTTGTTTTAAATCTTGGTTTTTTTTTATTTTTTTTATTTTATTTTATTTTATTTTTTAAAAAGAAAGCAAACATTTTTTTTTCATTTTACACACCAATCCCAGTTCTCTCTCTCTCCTCCTCCCATCCCTTCCCCCTGTCCCACCCCCCATCCATTCCTCAGATAGGGTAGGGCCCATTGCTTTGGGGAAGCAGATCTCACCTTGTAGCCCAGTCTTGCCTTCATTCTTGCTTTCAGAATCTCGCCTCAGCCTCCCAAGTGCTAGGATTGCAAGCTAAAATCCTTGTGACTAACGTTCCTACTTTTGTAGACTGCACCAAGCGATGCAATATTTAATGAAAGCTTCTAATCTCTTGTTAGTTTTTGTGCAGTTTTTATTAGTGTCATTTGCTCTGAATAAAAAGGAAATCCTAGTCTCTGTGGTAGTCACAAGCAAATATTTCCACTTACTGCTACTGATTTCCAGGCAGCCATTCATTCTAGGGCTCCATTTCATTACGCATAAAACGTGGGTATTAAATTGTGTGTCAATCCTAACTGTTTTAGTTCTGTGGTTTGTCTGCCCCCCTCCCCCGTAAATGACTCTAAAGTTTACCTTAAATAGCGTCTTATATACAAATTGTTTCACTTTTGTTCCGAGTCCCAGGCTTCCTTCTCATCTGGAAACCCAGATCATGGTCTAGCGGTCAGAGCTGAAGGCTCAGACTCATCCCGGCCACGCCTGGCGGAAAAACAACCGACTCATGACCATGAGCTGATCACGCGGTCTTTCAGGGGTTTAAATCCAGCCCGTGAGTTAAGCTGGGCATGTGATAACGGGCTCATGTGAAGAGAGCCAGTGTATGAATGACTTAGGGATTTGAGTTGCTTTCTTCAGCTGAACGTTTACCTGGGTCTCTTGATTCTATTAAAACCCATTAAGAATAAGTCATTGCTTTGCCAGGAAAGCTTCAGAATATACGTTCCCACTTCCATCCTTTCCCACGTTTTCTTCGGAAACTATATCGACTCAAGCAGGTTTCTTTTTTTTCCCCTCAATATCATGATTTTTATTTTATACTTTTAGGGTGTAAATGCTTGTCTTGCAAGCCTGACCACTCAGTTCAGTTGCCCGGAAGTCGTGTAAGAGTCAGACGCGGTGTTGTGTCTGCAGTCCCAGGATACCCCGGAGTGGAGATGGGAGTCAGACGCGGTGTTGTGTCTGCAGTCCCAGGACGCCCCGGAGTGGAGATGGGAGGCAGACGCAGTGTTGTGTCTGTAGTCCCAGGATACCCCGGAGTGGAGATGGGAGGCAGACGCAGTGTTGTGTCTGCAGTCCCAGGATACCCCGGAGTGGAGGTGGGAGGCAGACGCGGTGCTGTGTCTGCAGTCCCAGGATACCCCGGAGTGGAGATGGGAGGCAGACGCGGTGTTGTGTCTGCAGTCCCGGGATACCCCGGAGTGGAGATGGGAGGCAGAGGCAGGAGAATCAGAGCAGCTAGCCTGGGGTACACAGTCACAGAGAGACAAATCCTGTCTCAAACTCGGTGGATGAGTGAGAACTGAGTCCTCGGAGTTGTCCCCTGCCCTTCGCACATGGCCGCATGCCCTCACTGCTACAAAGAATCTAGTTCCCACCCAACACAGCACAGTACACACATACACACCAAAACAAGGAATTTTAGTCTGAATAAAGGCCACTGGGGAGGCTGGGCGTTAGAGTGGCCTTGAATAATTTGTATATGGGTATACTGAGTCAGATATTAATGGGAAACACACACATATGCTGAAGACATCGTAGTTATTGGGGCTGGAGAGGCAGCTCAGTGGTTAAGAGCACCGATTACTCTTCCAGAAGATGGGGGTTTGATTTCTAGCATCTGAATGGCAGCTCACACTTGTCTGTAACTTCATTTCCGTGGGATCCAGTGCCCCTTTCTAGTCTCTGCAGGCACTGGGCACATAGGTCACATAGACATAGAAATAGGCCAAACATCCATATACATTATAGTAATAGTAGTAATAATAATAATAAAATTTTTAGTCAAATTATTTATCTAACTAATATGTATTGGCCCAGTCGTACAGGCACTAGTCTAGACCCTAGGCAAACAGTGGTGAACAAGGTAAGCTCATTGACTGGAAGTACAGTAGGGAAAAAGGAAGTTCAGTTCCAGGGGCAGCTGTTGTCAGAGTATAGCCTCCCAGATTGGCAGTGTCAGCACTAGCCGAGAACCTCTTAGAAAAGAGCATTCTGAGGTCCCACTTTAGACCCGTGCACTTAGAAACTCCATTTCAAAGTCCTCCAGGCAGCTGCCAGCTACTGCTTGAGAACCATTGCAAGGCATGTGCGGGGAAAACCTGGGGCAGGGGGAAGCGTTTGAATATTGTTGCGGTGGGGAGAGAGCTTGGAGATGGAGGAGAGAGAATGAATGAATGGCCAGCAAAGCAGGGCACGGGAGGCAGAGTTCTGCTGCCCCAGATGCTGTCTGTCTCGAGGAAGGTGTGCACACCTAGTAAAAGTTAGTACAGTGTACTAAGAATCCCTTCAAACCAGGCAGTGGTGGTGCATGCCTTTAATCCCAGCACTCAGCAGGAGAGGCGGGGCCGGGGGGGCGCGCGACGATTCCGTGAGTTCAGGCCAGCCAGGGCGACACAGAGAAACCCTGCTGCTGTGGGATAATAATTTAGCTAGGCAGAGATATGTTACATTTGTTTATGCTGTGGGATCCGACTTTAATTGTGAAAAGATGTGTTGCTTTTGTTTGCGCTGCATTGTTTAACTACGTAAAGATGTGTTTGCTGTATTTGTTTCACCTTGCCCGCCTAAGGCACCTGAACCGTGGGCGGGAGAGGGATAGGCAGGGCCGCCGCACAGAAGAAGTCAGAGAACTAGACACAAGAGAAGACTACAGGGACACGCCCCCTCCAGGCAGCCAGACTGAGAAGCAGTGAAAGTGAGATACCCAGAAGGAAGGAAAAGTAAAAAACCCCTAGGCCAAGGTAGATACAGAGAAACAGGAGCGTTTGAGACTAGTGTTATCTCTGTGTCCAGTGCTGTGGGAGAGCCCTGCTGTGAGTTCTCCTCCGAGGAGGAAGTGCTTCCTGCAAGTTCTTAACCCTAACGGGAGGGTCGGCAAGCAGATGCCCTGAGAAGGACAGTGGTGAAGCCCAGATTGTACCTGGAACAGTGGTGACTCTTCACTCGGCTGCCACACACGCATGCTCATTTTCCCGACAAAGCTGTGGGACCTTGTTACCTTTCTGATCTCCATTTCTGGTTGGGTTCTTCCGTTTCCTTGGTCTCCTCCTTTCTTGGATAAACCAGAGGCATGCGTGTCTCAGGGCACACCAGAGCGCCTTTCCCGAGTGTGTCAGGGCACAGCTTCTGAGCAGGAGGGCGGAGGCTCTGCTGGGCCAGGCTATCCTCTAGACTCCAACAATGTCCTATGTTTTACTCTGTAAGCTTCCGAGTCCTGCCCTTCTCTGGCCACGTGACCCGGCTGATCCTGCATTTGTGGAATACGTGAGCCACCGATTATCTCAACTGAGGTGTAAGACTTCGTCCTCTACTCCCAGATCATCATGACTCTCAGTCTGCTTGACATTTTCTTACTGTCGCAAAACATACCACAGCATGGGACTCGGCATTTTAACCATTTCTGAAGGGTATGTTTGAGAGTGGCAACAAAGGCCTCCACGATGTTGAGCGACTGTCGTGACCATCTAGTTCCAGAACTGCCATCATCCTCTCCTGATGACCAGGCTCCCCCTACTCCACTGGGACCCTCAGGCCTCTGTAGAGCCACTTCTGTCTCTCAGATTCTCCTCTGCTAATCTTTGATTATTGTTGCTGTTGTCGTTACTGTGTGTGTATGAGGGTGGGGGTGATGTGCCCAGTACACCTGTGGAGGTCAGAGGGTAACTCCGGGAGTTAGTTCTCTTTGCCTTCTCAGGGACTGAACTCGGTCTTAGGTTTGTGCAGCAAGCACTTTGAATTCACTGAGCCGTCTAGATAGCTCCCCACCAGAATCTCTTAAAAGGAAAGGTGTCAGTGGGGGTGCACGCCTTTAATCTCAGCACTCAGGAGGCAAAGGCAGGCGGTTCTCTGTGAGTTTGAGGCCAGCCTGGTCTACAGAGTGAGTTCCAGGACAGGTGTCAATCTCTTTCCAGGGAAGTTGTGAGGATCAAAGGATAGAGATTTCACGAGGTTCCTAACAATGCGGTTCGCAGAGGGTATTTAGTAGACACCCCTCTCCCAGCTGTGGCTGCAGGACAGCACACGGTTCTGTTGAATGGGTATGCCATAGCTGTCTGACCTTTTCGCTGACTTTCTATGATGATTTCTAAATTTAAACATGTTTTTGTTGGTTTGTTTCGATGTTGTTTTTTGGTTTTTTTTTTTTTGTTTTTTTTGTTTTGTTTTGTTTTGAGACAGGGTTTCTCTTGTGGCCATGGCTATCCTGGAACTTGCTCTGTAGATCATGCTGGCCTCGAACTGAGATCCACCTGCCTCTGCTTCCCAAGTGCTGGGAGTAAGGGCGTGCACCATCACCACTTGGTTTAAATTTAAAATCTCAACTATAAGTTCTGTTATAATCTTTTCCCCGAATGTTCTGGAAAGCCTACGTTAAGCTGGAGGACTTGTGGGTTTGCCCTAGGCTCTGTCTGCCCATGCCGATCGACGTGGTTTACACCTGGGTGAATGGCACAGACCTTGAACTGCTGAAGGAGCTCCAGCAGGTCCGAGAACAGCTGGAGGAAGAGCAGAAGGCGATGAGGTAAATCCGCTTACAAAGAAGTCCGTGTGTGCCGTGAGCTCGTGGCGGTGCACGTCAGAGGTGGGCAAGGTGATCACTCACAGCCAGCTCACGTTTCCCTCTCTTACCTGGAAGATTTGCTAAGCCCCGCCCCCCGCCCTACTCATTTCTTTATAAATGTCGCCAGTACTTTCCAGTTAGAGGTCCTCCGCACCATACACATCAATGCCTTCCCTCGGCCATAAGCGTTGTAACACTTCCTATTGGCAAATTGCTTCCAGTGAAGTCACCAAGAAAGGCGACATTGGAAACTCTGCCTTGTTCAGTCGGGGGCTAGCACCAGCTGATGCCTTTGTCACAAGCTGTTTGCTTTTTCTTAGGGAAATCCTGGGGAAGAACACAACAGAACCGACGAAGAAGAGGTAAGGGTTTTAGTTTCTTCTCAGGAATAAAGCGCGAAGGCCGGAAATGAAGCGTCAAGTCGTCACTTGTGGGCGCAGACGGTTTTGATTTGTATCTGCCCGTATTCGGCCCCACCCCTGCTCTTTTTGACACCCCAATTAAGTGCATCCATTAAAGAGAATTAGCAGTGCTAAGCAGCATGACTGAGTGAGCGCTCAGGGTTTTCCGTTCTCGCCAACCAAATCCTGCTTGCTTTTGGCAGCCCGGAGTACTCATTTATCTGTCTTGATGCATTGTCCTCTTGGCCTCTTCGAACTAATTATACCCTGTGTTTTGACTATAAAGTTTGTGCCCATCATCCATTTGTCCATTTGTAATCTCTCCTTATCTTTGTAAGCTGTCAGATTGTACATACTTAAGGACCTGGAAGGGGATTTAGCCCAATGACAAGAACCAGGTACATCTGCCTCGCTACATATATTGGTTTCAATCATGCTTGACTCTGATGAGGCCATGAAACAGCTCTGGTGGACAAGCAGAAACGTCTTCACGGCTTCTTTTCCACTTAGACTTTAAAGAGGTTGTCTGTGGAGGTGATCCTCTACCGTCTTTTTGCTTGTTTGTTTTTATTTTTTGAAGGAAGCTCTCACCTAGCCCTAGCTAGCCTTCACACTCACCGCGCAGCTGAGAATAGCCTTGATTTGCTCCCGCTGCCTCTTGCTCAAGTGCTGGATCGTAGGAGTGTGCGGCTGCACTCCGCTCACAGCTGTCAGCCGTAGCCTTAACTTACTGCTTTTTAACTTCTAATTGACATGGTATTTTCATGCTTCGTACCTCTCCGTATAGTGGGCAGGCACGGTATAAGTATATGTATGCGTGCTATAAGTATATAGTGTGTATATAGTACCACACTGTGGCTCTGTTAGCTGTGAGGCCAAGTATGTTTGAGAGGGACAGATTTATAGTGTTTGGATTAACACTCAGTCACTGTTTTCGAGGGGTGCTAAGTGAACAAATGGGGTGACAGTTGCTTCCTCTCACGCTTGTTTGATTGTAACATGAGGGGGGCCAGCTTATTTGTGTTTTTGTCCTGCCCAGTTCCCCCAGATGTTTAGTCCCAGAGAAAAATCACACTGAGATCTCTATAAGTTATAAAGCTAATTGGCCCATTAGGTCAGGCTTCTTACTGACTAACTCTCACATCTTGATTAACCCATTTTTTTGATCTATGTTAGCCATGTGGCTCAGTACCTTTTTCAGTGGGGCAGCTCACATCCTGCTGCTTCAGTGATCTGGGCAGGAGTGGGAGCAATCAACTTCCTCCTCCCCAGAATTCTCCTGCGCTATCTGTGATTCCCACTTTGTGAGCTTTCTAGCCATGTTCTGTGACTATGGCTTTTACTCGGGTAACCTCTGAAGGGTTGTCTTTCATTCAGACAGAAAGCCCCCTAGTGTTCTAGTGTTCTAGTGTTGACACGAGAACCATGCTGTCCTTGTCCCTTTGTATCGTGAAATGTCCTGTGTTGTTCATATTGTTCTAACTGGGCTGGGGAAACTGCATCCAGTAACATGATACTATTAGCCAAAATCTCTTTCCAAATATGCTAACAAGGGGCTTCAATTGACTTACATATGACAAGCTTACTTTTTTGCCCCCCCCCCCAGACATGATTTCACTGACCTAGAATTCATAGTCGATTCTCTTACCTCATCCATCAAGTATGAGATGCCACACTTGGGTGATATATAATCTTATATACTACTCTTATAATTAATAGAAACTTGAACACTGTATGTTTAAAATGTATCTTATTTTTATTCCATACTTACTAACAACAATTTTGGCATTTTGGGGATGAACTAATTTATTATGGTATGAATTTTATAGATATGGGTTATAGGATTTCAACCCCCCTCCCCCGTCTATCAGTGGCCTCAAGTTTTCCTTGGTGGTGTGCTTGTCTCTGCAGCGAGAAACAGCTGGAGTGTCTGCTGACGCACTGCATTAAGGTGCCCATGCTTGTTCTGGACCCACCCTTGCCAGCCAATAGCACCCTGAAAGACCTGCCATCTCTTTATCCATCTTTCCACGCCGCCAGCGACATGTTCAACGTTGCAAAACCGAAAAACCCTTCTACTAATGTGTCCGTTGTTGTTTTTGAGGATACTAAGGATGGTAAGATTTTTTTTTCCTATGTTTTTTTTTAAAGGTTTATTATTTTGTGTGTATGAGTGTCTTCTGCATGTATGTCTGTACTCCTCATGTCTGGAGGCCAGAAGAGGGTGTTAGATCCCCTGGAAATGGAGCGGTAGAGAGTTGTGAGCTGCCATGTGGGTCCTAGGAGTTGAGCTGATAATAGAGCAATAAGTGCTCTTGCCTGCTGAGCCATCTCTCCGGCCCATGCGTATTTATTATTATTGGAGGTTTAATTGTTGGGGCAGGGTCTCTTATGTACCCCTGACTGTCCTGGAATTCACTATATAGACCCAATTGGCCTCAGACTCTGAGATTCACCTGTCTCTGCCTCCTGAGCACTGAGATCCAAGGTGTGTTGCTGTCCAGCTCTGTGTGTATATTTAAACCATCGATATTCAGAATAGCAGTGGTTCTGAATTCTGAATATTCTGATTAATTCTGAATAATCAATATTCCGAATGAAGCAGTGGTTCAGTTTTTAAGAACCGTCCTATAAACTAAAGATGTCCAGGGAAAACCCACAGAGCCATTGTCGTATTGCCCTGTGTCTGCCATCTCAGGAAAGAGCCGCAGACACAGCATCGCCCGTGCTCCGAGTACCCGTGAGGATCTTTGGTCTGGTGTACAGAAAGTGCCTCCACTTCTGTCTCCTGGCGCAGTCATCCTGGAGGCTGGTTGTTGTTTTGTTTGTTTATTATCTTAACAATATAACTCAATGAGATTGTGTTCTGCAGTTTGAACAGAACACACTAGAGCATTCTTAGTCTCTCTTCAGAAATGGCTTGTCTTCCTTCTGCTTCACACGGTGAAATCTGAATTCCCAGTGGGATGTCACAGGAGGTCTCGCCTTTGGGAGATGAGGGCGCAGAGGCTAAGACTTAATGAGTAGGATTTCTATAATACCGCAGGCTCCATGAGAGTTCATGAGTAGTATTATATTTTTAT